CTCTTCCATCCTTGGCCTTACTTGTGCTGAGGAGCAGCAGTGTGCCACATCTGTGTCACCTCACATGCCCCTCTCGCCGCCTGGTGCTCAGGTTGAACGGCTGCTATGAGGCGCTCTCGGGGGGCAGCACCACCGAGGGCTTTGAGGACTTCACCGGTGGCGTGGCAGAGATGTACGACCTCAAGCGTCCGCCGCGCAACATGGGCCACATCATCCGCAAGGCGCTGGAGAGGGGGTCCCTGCTGGGCTGCTCCATCGACGTAAGTGGTGCGCGGGGACAAGCCAGGGGCTCTGCCCCAGCAATGGCCAAAGCAAGGCCTCACAGCTCGACATTGTGTTAGCAGACCCCTCACTGGGACACTGGGAGGGAGGTTACTTCTTTCTCCTCTAGCAGAGCACCCTTTTCAGAGCCAGTGTGGCAGCCCAGCTGCTGTGAATGGGCTCCTTTGGTTGGAGCAGGAAAGTCCATCTCAAGTGTGGGCTGTTGGACCAGGGTCTGCCTGTAGCTCTGGCCATGTCTTGTGTTAGCATCTGAGAATTATCCAAAGCAGAATTTTCCATCTGCTCCTTCTCATGGAATCCTTTTCTTGCTTTCTGAAGTTTGAGTGGTTTCCCGATGTATCTTCAGGGTCCTCCAACAGGGAAACTGTCTTTAAATTGTCCTCAGCCAGCAGCCTTTGAGTGCAGGGAGGTGCTACCTGCTGCTTGTCTTGGCTGGAGCAGTGCAAAGCAAGGGGAGTTCTCCACATGGTGGAGGGGAAGGGGTAGGGATAGGACTACATTAATTTAATCATATTCACTTGAGCTTTGCATATTCTCCTCAGATCACAAGTGCCTTTGATATGGAAGCAGTGACCTTCAAGAAGCTGGTGAAGGGCCACGCCTATTCTGTCACAGCCTTCAGAGATGTAAGTTGCCTCGATGAGACTTTAATAGCAATAAAATAGCCTGGCCAGTGGCATGGGCTCAACCTCCTGTGTCTGGTGACTGGCAGGTGAACTACCGGGGTCAACAGGAACAGCTCATCCGCATCAGGAACCCCTGGGGTCAGGTGGAGTGGACTGGAGCCTGGAGCGATGGGTGAGTTGGACAGATGGGACCTCAGTCCCACCGATGGCAGGCCAGCAGGCACGCAGCAATCAAGTGCACAGCACTGCCGAGGGGAAGTTCACAGTCTGCAGTGCCCTTGGCATTGGAGAGGGGTGAGGGTGAGGTTGAGGACCAGTTCTGAAGTGCTCTCAGTTCACCTTGAGTAGTCCTCACCTAATTGTCTCTCTCCTGCTATTACAGCTCCTCTGAGTGGGACAACATTGACCCTGGCGACAGGGAAGAGCTACAGCTGAAGATGGAGGATGGAGAGTTCTGGTGAGTGCCAGAGCAAAGTGCTGCTCCTTTTCAGCAGCCAGCCTGGGAAGGAGCAGAGAGAGAGAGAGATCCTGCAGTCCTACTTCACCTGAAACGCATGACCTGCCTTTATGAGCTGGCTTTCCAGCACCAGAGAGCCTGCTAACATTTTCTCATCTATCTAGTTAATAATTTTCCTCCCTTAAAGGAAATTCAACCCAACTACATGCAAAATAAACATCTAGGAAGGGTAAAGATCCTTTCTTCCCCATACCCAGCAACGGGTTTTAAATGAGCTATAACTGCTGAGGGTATAAGATCTTGCCATCACTTAATTCTCCCAAAATGTTGGCTGGGTCTGGAGCTGCTTGTGGTCTCCTCCCTGCCCCCCTAACCCCAGCCCCTGCTTGTCTCCTGCAGGATGTCTTTTCGGGACTTCATGAGGGAGTTCTCCAGGCTGGAGATCTGCAACCTGACCCCTGATGCCCTCACCAAGGACGAGCTCAGCAGATGGCACACGCAGTTGTTTGAGGGCACGTGGCGCCGCGGGAGCACTGCCGGGGGCTGCAGGAATCACCCAGGTATCTCTCCCCTCCCCATTTCTCTCGACAGCGTGATGGAGCCAGGTGTCTCATCCACACATCCTCTTCCTCCCAGCCACATTCTGGATCAACCCCCAGTTTAAGATCAAGCTGCTGGAAGAGGATGACGACCCCGGGGACGATGAGGTGGCCTGCAGCTTCTTGGTGGCTCTGATGCAGAAGCACCGGCGGCGGGCGCGGCGAGTGGGGGGTGACATGCACACCATCGGCTTTGCTGTCTATGAGGTAAACCCTGCCCGCCCCAATGCTGTTTCCTTAGGGCTGGCTCAGCCCTGCCAGTCCCAACTCTATCTGGCACCCCAATCCTCAGGGAAACCTTTCCCACCAGCTTTGGCCGGTCTGTGGGTTAATGTCCCCTGTCCCATGCTCCCTGTGCTCTAAGGGATGGGGGCAGATACTGGGATTCTGATTTTTTTTTCCCTTTTCTCTCCTCCCTGCAGGTTCCTGAGGAGGTATGTCCTGAGCCGCTGGAGTCTACCCCTTCTTGGAGGGGAGCACAAGAGTGGGCAGGAACGGGTTAATGTGCACCACTGGTGTGGGAGCTCCCACCAAGCTGGCAGTGGTGTGGGTGTTCATGGGTGTTGGGCTCCTGCTGGGATGGGCAGGGCAGGGATGTCCTGCCCAACAGGGCTGGCTTTGGTCCCACTGCTCGCTGTGGGTCCCCCTCGTTGCAGGGCTGTGGTCCACAAGCCCATTCATTCCCCCAGGCGCAGGGCAGCCAGAATGTGCACTTGAAGAAGGACTTCTTCCTGCGAAACCAGTCGCGGGCACGGTCCGAGACCTTCATCAACCTGCGGGAGGTGAGCAACCAGATCCGGCTGCCCCCCGGCGAGTACATCGTTGTGCCCTCCACCTTTGAGCCACACAAGGAGGCCGACTTCATCCTGCGGGTTTTCACCGAGAAGCAGTCGGACACGGCGTGAGTCCCTGCCTTGCTAGGGGACGCCCTGTGTCTCTGCGCGGTGGGACCTTTCAAACAGGCAGCCTGCTGGCTCGGGACCCTGCTCATCACTTTGTTTTCCTCCTTTCTGCCCCCCAGGGAGCTGGACGAGGAGATCTCAGCAGATCTGGCAGATGAGGTAGGAGCTGCCACTTTGGTTCAGTTGGTGCTGCGGCTCTGGGGCTTGGAAGGGGGAGCTGCAGGCAGGAGGTGGCTGCCTGGGTTTGGGATGTCACTGTGGCTGGAGAGGGGCTGGCAGGGTTGAGGTGATGGGGGTGTGGGAAGTAACAAAGACGAGAAGACCAAAGACCTTCCCTTCCAGTTTGGGTTTGCTGAGCCTGGGAGGCAGGGCAGAGCCCAAGCTTGACCACTAACCTCTTCTTTCTGGCCTGTGTCACCCCAGGAGGAAATAACTGAGGATGACATAGAGGACGGCTTCAAGAACATGTTCCAGCAGCTGGCAGGGGAGGTGAGCACAGCTGCGCCTAGCTCCGGGGGGCCCTGGCCTGGGAAGGGGATGTGAGAGCTCCAGCCCACCCCACACTCTCACAGTCCCATCCTGCAGACAAGTCCATCTCTGCCATGGCTCAGCCCAGCTGTCTGTCCCCAAGGGAGGTGTGATGGGAGCAGATTTGGGGAAGAGGCATCCAGCTGTGGCCAAAACTCTTCTGGGCATGCAGGAAATGCAATGGCACCCTGATGTTTTGTGACTGAGGCAGAGATGTTGAGGCAGGAGTAGCGGGGGAATGGCCACAAGCGGGGTGGAGAGCAGACAAGGGGTGCTGCTAACTCTGCTCCTGCTGCAGGACATGGAAATCAGTGTCTTCGAGCTCCGGACTATTCTGAACAGAGTCATCGCTAGACGTAAGCGCTGCCCTCCCTGCCCCTTGCTCCGCGTGGCCCAGGCCTGCTCAGCTGGTTGGGTTTTGATGTACATGCTCAACCTCCTCCTTCCTCCTCAGACAAAGATCTGAAGACAGATGGGTTCAGCCTGGACTCCTGCCGGAACATGGTCAATCTGATGGATGTATCCTCTTGGCACTGCAGGCAGGGGCCAGCTTCCCTGGTGCTCAGCCTGCCGGCAGCAAGACTTCTCCATGGGAGCTGGGGCCTGGCTCTCTGGCCATGCCAA